TTTTTAAGTGCTGGAATCAAACCCAGAGTTTAGTGCATGGTAAGTAAGTGCTGTATGGCTAAGTTACATTTCCAGCCCAGTTTGAGTATTTTCTATTTTGGAATATTTTCAGTTTTGATCCATTTTCTGTTTCTTGGTGTGCTGAGGTTTTTGATGACACCAGTCTAAAGTTTCTTCATCTGTTACCCTGTTTATAGTTTGAAGGATCTCTGTTTGATTCTTACACACCCAACACTCCATATCCAAGAAGTCATATCTATGATCTCAGATGAAACATAAAAGTATTTGAAAAAAAGTTGCTTTGGGGACTGCAAGCATAAGGACCCGAGTTCAGTCCCAGAACTCACATAAAAAGCAGGCATGTTGACATGTGTTTGCAATCCCAGTGCAGAGAAGGTAGAGATAGGTAGATCCCTGGGGCTCCCTGACCAGCCAGCCCAGTCTTCTGGGGACGTTGATGCCACTGAGGAACCTGTCTCAAAAAAGGTGGCTGGCACCAGAGGAACGGCATCTGAGGTTGTCCTCTGACCTCCACATGCACACACACGTGTATGTACACCAGTATATACACACATCCATGCACACAAGTGCTCCTGCATTAAATATAGCCTTTATACCTTACTTTCCTAAATAGTATAACAACGATTTATTCAACATTTGCATTTTATTAGGCATCATAAGAAATCTAGAGTTGATTTAACATATATGAGTGTTATGTAAAAACAATCATGTTTTATATAAAGAACTTGAGTACATACAGATTTTAGTATTTGGAGGGCTTTCCAAAAGCCATTTCCCCCATAGATACCAAGTGATGACTCTAGTTTTCATCTTTTTGCTGAAGTCCTCACCTGGTCTTACCCATCCTTTAGTGTCTGTACTGTAGCTGTCTCCAGTTTCCTACCTGATAATTTCATCAACAGTGACTATCTTACTCTCCTTATATTATTTGCTTTGAGTTTTGATGGTGACATGTTTTCTTCTTTCTTAGATGCATTGAATAGTGGAGGTTTTGTTTAAGACAGTAAAACTTGAGGTAACTTGTACATATGTGTGCCTGAACATTAACTTATATTATCTTTTGCCTGGCTTTTAGCTGGGTAGGGACCGTGTTGAATTGCACTAGTCAGGAGTTGAGTTGACTTGGGCTTCCTTGTGTTGTTGTTTTCCTCAGTGAGCAGCGCTTCAGATTCCTGTAGTTACTTTGGTTGGAGCAGTGCTCCTTCTAGCTTTCTGTATACTGTGAAGCCAGATTTTTTTTTCCTACTTTATTTTTCAACTTTGTCATTGGTAGATTTGACAGTTATGTGGACTTGGTGAGAGAGTATATGCTAGAGAATTAAAGGAAAATGGCCTCAGCTAATAGGAAAGGTATTTCTTCTCATAGTTGAGTGGGAAACCACACCCCAAGAAGAGAGACAAAGGTGTAGTAAGAGAAGAATGCAAAACCTGAAGCCTGGAAGCCTGAATGCTGCGGTCAGGACCTTGGAGAGTGAGAACTTGAGACACGGAGTTCATAGCCAGGGCCATACATGAAATATTACTCTGAGAGAATGAAAGATAAACAGTGCCAGTGGCTCAGAAACTGAGGCTGTGAGTAAATAAGGGAAACTCAGTACCTTATATGAGGGCTTGTCACATTCTGCTTGAGCATAGGTGTTTGCTCAGACATGCTATGCCTCTTTGGGCTCTGTGCTATACAAATGAACAGTTAATAAATAAACCTTGGAGGATAAAAGATAAGACAGCTTTGGTCTGATGTCAAAGATGTTGGTCTTAAAATGAAGTACTGATTGAAGGAAGCTTCTTGTATCAATATACTTTCTCTTAGATACCAAATACATACATTTACCAAAGGAAATCATCGTTTGTTAAAAGCCTGGCATCCTAAAGAGATGAGATTAATTTCAAGTGCTGGTTAATTTGCCACTAAACATATTCAACTTTAAAGGGGTAGTTCAACACCAGCCATTAAATGGTACTTACAGCTTAGAGATATAATTGAATTCAACATAGCTTCTTGTTTAATTGAAAATTATTTTCCTTGGAGTTATTTTGGATAATTTGATTTGTTGCCGTTAAGCCTATATCGTTATATATGTATGGTTATATATATGCATATGTATACTCCATATTTTTAAAAGTGTAACTTTGTTATAAATACCAATGTTCTTATAAGAATGAGTGTTTTATTACCAGCTTTCTTCTATGCTAATCTACTGATCATCTAGTGGTCTTGGTAGTTTATATTGTTCTCACGTATCACATTTTCCTGCCCATCTGTCTTAACTTTTTCTTCTAGGTGCTCTCTTTCCTATTCACTTTTCTGATGCATTTTATTATCTACTGAATATTCATTTCTCGCTATTAGCCTTAATATTCCTCCGTATATCCATTCTATCTGACAGGTACCTTCTTGGTCAGCTTCCTTTTACTAACTCACAGTGCATTCCAGTTCTGTCTGTCCTTCAGCAGCAATGTTCCTGATAACTACATATTTCACTGGCTAGAGGATAGCACCTTTAATAACAAGATAAAATTGAACTAAAACTGGCATTAGTCTTGCCCTCAAATTGAGGACTGATAATAAAACTTCTACCTCTTTTCCTTTAAATCATTCACAAGAGTAAAATTGTACTTATTGGTAACTAAACACCATTCAGAATTGCTTTCTTCTGTTTTTCATCATATCTGATTCTTCAGTTTATTTTTGGCTTTGAGTTTTTAATTTTTTAATCATTAGTGTAATGCACTGATTTTGAATTAAAATATTTTGCTGTCTATGATCCTCAAAATGGACAGAAACTATGGAAAATACAGTTAATATCACTGGGAAACTCTTTAAAATCCCAAGACAGACTTTTCATATGTCCTATTGTCAAAATACACACACACACACACACACACACACACACACACACACATACACACACGCCCCTAATGCTTCTGTATACCTGAAGGGATTATGTGTAATTGTTTGATAAAATTAGCTTTGACTTCTGCAGGCTCCACAATGCTGTTATCAACTATCATTAAAACTTCATTTTCTCATTTTTGTGAAAGGAAAATTTTGTTTTTCTCATCATTTTCTTTGAAATGAATACATGAATTAACACACGTATTCAGTGTTTTAAGCAACAGTGTTTTTAAATAAAAATGATTATAGGGTTAATATTTAACATAACAAGTGCAGCTTTGAAGTCTGCCCAGTGGTCGGATCCAGGACCAAAGATTTCCTGTGCGTTCCCGTGTCAAGAACACTGCTGACTCCATCCAGTCTCATTTCTTTCCAGGTTTTACAGAAATTTATGTTCCCTTAATGATAAGAAATATTCCCTATGAAATAGTTATAAGCAGATGTATTCTTCAAAACAGTGGTGTATGAACACATACGAATCTCCGTAAGCACCTAAGGAGCCACGTTTTCATTTCCGGTCCTGCATGCACTCATTTAACATGAGTAAAATAGAGACTGTCCAAGTGCACATGTGGTCGGAGTTTCATTCAGTGTCATGCTCTTTGGGAACAATTTATTAGGCAAAGATAAATACTCTGGTTATAGATGCAAGAATCAAGACTAAAGGAGGAAACAATTTTAAGTTTTTCTATAAGTAGATTCCAGACTAAGAAAACTTTCACAAATGTTTTAAATAAGGATTAAATGGGAGATATCTTTCTTCAGTCTTCTTGAAATATGATAGATGCCAGCTAATACAACATTGTAGTTTAGTCATTTAGTTTATCTTGCCTTGACCTCTCTACCATACATAAAATAAAGCAAAAGCTAATATGTATGTAATATTTTACTATTTAAAATGCTGATGGTTTATATGCTTCCTTTGAAAAGACTTGGCAAAAATTTAAAAAACTTGTGCAGGGTAGTGCTATTTTTTTCTTTTTGTCTATAGTTCACTGTTTATTCTGGTTCCCTTTGTCCAGGCAAAGGGAACATTAATCAGAAATTCAAATTTCTGCCTAGTAAGAGGATAGTGTCTTTGAATATGATGGGTAATTTTAATAGTACATACATGTATTAGACTATTCTTGAAGATTACTTGAAAATAACAATTATTTAGTAGTTGTGTTAGATGAAAATCAGA